ACTATGGACTAGTTTATCGGTGCACCTCTAATTACTAACCCTTTCTAACTTTTATTGGTTAATCCTCCTGCCCACTTCGGATGGTATTTATGAGACGCAAAATAACTAGAAGATTAAACCTGCTAGTAAGGTGCTGATGTTAAAGATAGTGGAACCTTGCCTGTGTAAAGGAAATGCCCAGAGAGAATTTGACCTTGACCCTGAAGTTGGGAAAGGAAAGAGTGGTTTTCTTGAATCCTGCTAGCACTAGCAGGTCTGTTCTGTGTTTTTTTTTTCATTTTTGGTTTGTTTGTTTTTTGTATTGGCAGGGCTAGTGAGTATTCAATATATTTTGATACCATTTGGTCACTTGAAAAGTGTAGTATACTTTTTCTTTCTGTACTTCTCTCCACTCTGCAAGAGTAAATATAATAATCTTCTTTTTTCTACTAACCTGCTTTCTTACTGCTGAAGAAAGGGATCCCCTTTACTCAGCAGTTAGGTTGGGTGTTTATATATACATATGTATATATAAAAGAATGTGATAATTCCAAATGGATCAAAGGGTGGTCCAGTATTGAAGGGCATAATATGACCTGAGAAGTCCTGGTTTAAACTCCCTGCTGCGCTGGAGACTGTCATCTTTCACGATTACTTTGTCCCTCTGTGCCTCATTTTATAGTTCTTTCTACTTCTCATAGGGGTTGTGATAAATGAGTTGTGCAGATAAATGGCTCTGAGAATAGAGGGATAGAATGGTGAATGTAAAGAAATCCCTTTAATGAAGAAGAAAACAGTCAAAAATGTAGCAGGAAAGTCTCTTAAGCCTATTTAAGGTGTTTATATTAATCACTAGCCAATTGCCTGTCAAGAATGACAGGAGGGGAAGGGGGCTGGGATGGAGTGCTGCCACATAGTACCCTATGCTGCCACTGTTCTGCCTCTTGCAGGGAGCAGGGTGGGGGAGCCGAGGAGCAGCACTGCTGGCCCCAGCTCCCCCACCCCCTGTCTGGTCTTTGGCATGGCTTCAGAATCATGGTGGCGCTCCCCAACACTTGGAGCACTCCGACTGTTTCTGTCAGCCAGTCAGAGTGTGAGTAAAGCAGGGGTGGGCAAAATGTGGCTCGGATGTGGCCTGGCAGGCCATCTATCCGGCCTGTGAGGCCCCTAAAAAATTTTAGAAAATTAATATTTATCTGCCCTGGGATGCCTGTCATGCGGCTCTCGATGGCTTGCCAAAACTCAGTAGGCGGCCCTCTGCCCAAAATAATTGCCCACCCCTGGAATAAAGCATTATAGACAGACAGACAAGCTTAGGCTTTTTACAATATTAGAATATTACTTTTGACACTCCAACAGTTTGTGCCACTAATTTGAATAATTAAAAATTCATATGCATTTGCCTTGTTCCTAGAACTGCCATTTTAAATACAGATATTTTAATGTGCAAAATAAAACCCAATCTGTGTTCTTAAAATAAATCTAAATCACTTAAATACTTGAATAAAGACGCTACTGATAAAAACAAAATTTTAATTCCTCATGACCCACTAATCAAAATCCAGAATTGGGGTTTACTTTCATATCATACTGCTCTTATCTACGTTTCTTGCTTATAATTGAATATGAATTAGCAGGAATTCTGCACTAAAAATTTGATATACTATTATTTGGTTCTTTCAGCTGTCTAATAGAAAAGTTAATATTTTTACATTTTTAATTTATTTTTTTAATTCAGTTTATGTAAATGAGATTACATTTACCAATGAACAAAAAATCCCCATGTTGAATGGGGAGCAGGGGACATGTTGTCTTGTAATCGAGTAAATAGGTTACTTCCAGTTCATATTCCAGTAGATCTGGTGAAATTGTTGGCTTTAGTAATGGTTCTGGTTACTTGAAAGTGATTGAGTTTGAGTCCCTACCTTAGAAAAACCTTTTTAGAAAGAAGCTTTGGGTAATTTGCAAGTTTTTTTTTTTTGCTTTTTTTTTAATTGTAAATTCTTTACCCTTGGAATACGATTTAAAATGTACATCCAGTTTGTATGCAGGGTTTGTAGCACCATATGCAAAATCAGTGATATCACCCATATAATTAGCATGCTTCTTTGTTTTTTGGATATTTTGAATAACTGATCTTTTTCTAAACTTTTATTTTTGTGCTTTTCAAACCTTACTAATTTTGTGATACTTTGGTTATTTAGTTCCAGTTTTATGTTGTAGTTTTCTGGGGTAATTTGTTCTAACTTTTAATAAACACAAAAGAAGTTATAGCTGTCTGTAGGTATTGTACATGTAAATTGGACTTATTTTCTTTTTATAGGCTGGACTCATTGAAGCCAATGGAGAACTTAAGGTGTTTATAGACCAAAATCTTAGTCCTGGAAAAGGTAAGAACATATTTTCAGAAAAAATTCCTCCATTTTTTGGCCATAGTTATATCTAAGTGTATTACTGGCAATAATGGGCTTGGCAACTGTCTTTATAGTATGGCTTTTATTAGGCTTTTCTTAATCTCACTGTTAAATTTTAAAAGACTAACTTTGCAAATTTATTGTGGATTCCAATTTGTGTAATGTTTAATAGTAGCTTTTGCATTTCCTGGTCAGTTATGAGTGTAGCTGTACCACTGTACAGGCAAAGATGATCGATACTGTTTGCATCAGTGTATCTTAACAGCTGGGGAAAGTGTTTAAGGGCAAATAATCATATAAAGTGTCTTTGCCTATCTAAAGGAGGCTTGCACCGGTATGACTACAACAGTGATTGGTCATCAGTTACCCTGAGGATTTGTCCTAGTTTGTCAAAGCCTGAGATAATGTTCTTAATAGAAATTTCTAGACTTTGTTAGGTAATTGACTACCCTGTTTTATTTCTGTGATGCAAACGTGTCTGCCTCATGGCCTATAAAAGAGAATTCTATTTCAGCTTGATTATATGGTTAAAATCCAAGAAAATATATCAGTTTTGGAGTTGCATTGAACATTTGACCTAGGAAAGGCAAGAGAAGCTAGGAAAGAAACATGAGAACCTGAGATTGGAAGGAATCTTGAGTCACTGACTCCACTCCCCTGCTACTGCATTAACCACAATGTATGATCCCGCTTACAAACTCTGTCTTAAAACTGGTTAAATCATTTGCCCCCACTGCTTCAATTGGAAGGTTTTAGGAACTGCACTTCTCTGAGCTTTCTTTTTTCCAGCCTAAATTTATTCACATCCAATTTACACCCGTTTGTTCTTGTACTATTTTACCTCCTGATGTTCATCTCCTGATCTCTCTATTTAAAGAGAAATTACAGCAAAACAAAGGCTGAGGGGAGCGAGGCTAAACAAGTTTCCTCTTGTTCAGAGAGGCTCTCCATTTCCCTGATCTATCCTCATGACTCTGCACCTGTTCCAGTTTGACCTCATCATCTTTCTTAAACATCAGTGACCAGACTGGTACAAAACATTCCAGATGAGGTCTTATCAGTAACTTGTATAATGTCATCAATACTTCCCAAGTTCTGCTGGAAATACCTTGCCTGGAAAATCTTGTGGTGGCTCATAGTTATCCTGTGATCATTTCATATACCCAAGATTTTCTCCTCTTTAGTGACTTCCAACTGATGAGTTCTATGTTGTAGCAGAGACTATAAGTGTCCTACTTTGTGCTTTGTTGATTTTCAGCCCCTTTCTATTACTCTGGTGTTCAGGGCTATTCCATTCTTCTTAACTCTTCTGGTCTGCCTTTGTATTGATGAGCCTCTTAACTGTATTTCATCACCAAATTTCAGTGCCAAGGTGAAAGAACAGTCATTGAGGGAACTCCACATAGTTCCCTGTTTCAGCCCAAAACTTCATCATTTCTATTTGAGCCAGTTCCTCGCACCTTACAGTTCTTGTACTAATCCTTCTCTTTTTAATTAATTTGCCATATGATGCTGTATCAAGTGGTTTACTGAAGTAAGTCCATATCATATGCCTTTTTCTTTATTTTGACTCTTAGAGAATAAGAGAGCAAAAAGAGTGAGACCACAGTCTCATGAAGAGGGCAGGGAAGCCTATTGTTGAAGGCTTTATTTCCTGATCCCTCAGAACTGAAAGACAGATTTGACAAACTTAGTATGGCACATAGCTGCTGTAAAGGGAGGGAATCTCTGAGGGTGCCTATACATGAGCTGGGAGGCTATTCCAATGTGCTGTAATTACAGTGCACTGGAGCAGACTTGATTAATAGAGTCTGCTGGAGTGTGGTAGCCAGCATCTGTGTCTTGTGTATCGGCAACCCTGCAGTTCAAAATGGCAGTGGGGGCACTTTAAAGCTTGTTCAGGAAACTTTAGATAAGCACACCTGCTGCTATGTTGAAGCGTGGGATGCTGATACATGAGGCACTCCAGGCTGTTTAATTAGAGCAGATTTTGGAGCTGCTCTAATTAAAGCATCCACCCCCAACTCCTAGGGCATTTTTACACATGCTCCGAGAAATTACAAGTCCATGAGGGTGAGAGTTTGGTTAACAAACTATTGTTTTCTCAGCCCTGGACAGTGCCTAGGCTGGAAAAAATGTTGTAGTTCAGATGTGTAAGGTAAGGAGGAGTGTGGTGTCAACCTGAAAAAAATACAGGGTTTCCTTATATTGTGTTACTTTGACCCTAGATGTAACATAGACCATAGAGGTGCCTGTTAGATTAGGAGATTGTTTGGAGGAGTCTTAAGAGAACTGAGGTCTTGGGGTTAAAGAGCAGGATGGTAGAACTGTATAGGTTCCAGCTGGAGGAGCATCCTTACAAGCAGAACCTTGGGAGAACAAGTAAGACCCTGAGCCCATGTTTAAATGTGTTCTATGTTAAAACTTTTGTACTGAGGTTTGTTAAAATTTATATGGGAGAGAGAAGGTACAGGCTTTGTTTCTGTTCCTGGTTGAAAGGCAAACAACGTTTAATTTTCTGAACAAGTCAGAAGCAGACTGTGTAGCAACTTTTAAAGCCTTGAAAACTTTTCCACAGAGTTTGATACTGTTTCATGGCACAATTTTTTTTGACTTGAAATAAACTATAGTTTATCAGTTGCATGGATAATTCAGAGGTAACATTTTTGCCAGAATCTAACTGCTAAGCTAGGTTTTGTAGTAAACTTGGGTACAATTTAATTATTATATTCTGTAGGGAAACATGGCTTGATTGGATTTGGTGTTTTCTAGTATTTTCTACAGCCTTATATTTTCAGACTCCATTGCTGTAGCGATCAGATAGTTTAATGTGCAATTTTGACTTTCGTTTATGATCTTAAACGTACATTAAACTATATGTAATTATCTTTAAAAAAAGAAAATTGAAAAGTAATCAAACCTATCAAACGTTCTCTTAGGATTTCTTGGAGCATAAGGTATAAAACTGCCAAAATGGATTTTTGGTACAGTTTATGGCAAAGGTGTCAAATGTATATCCCATAGGCCAGGTCTGAGCATTCAAGACATGCAGTCCTGTCAGCTGCAGTGGTCACCGCTGCATCACAATCTAGCCCATGAGGACCTCCAAGGTCCAGATCTGGTCCAGAGAGGGAGGAGGTGGGGGCGAGTTTGACACCCCTGGTTTATGGTTGTCAGGGCTGATGGTAGTCTTATGTAGAGTTTAGATCAGGAGTGGGCAAAGTACAGCCCATAGGCTGGATTCAGCCTGCCAATTGACTGGATCTGGCCGTGGCTGCCTTCGTACTGCTCCTCCTGGGGCCAAACACCAACCACTTCTGCTGAGGCTGCACACACTGTGCACCAGCCATCCCAGGCCCCAGTAGTGTTTACAGCTTCCCGCAGGGCTGTTCCCAGTGCCACCTTCCACCTGTGGGGCTGTTCCCTGGCCACTTTCCACCCATTCTACCTGTCCATAGGTGGCTGCTTATTGTGTAGGGTGGGCAGAGGAAGTGGAAGATAGAAGGGAGCTGGAGCCAGAGCCCCATGTCCTGGGGCAGGAGCTGCCGGGGGCTGCTCTGCTCCTTTTGCCTCCAGCTGTGGCTCCTTCTGCTCCTGTTGTGCAGCTGCAAGCAGGGGTGGGAGCTTCAGCCAGGCAGCTCCTGCCCCAGCACATGGTCCTCTGACTCCAGCTTCCATCTGTCTTCTACTTGCTCTACCCACCCAACACAATGAGCAGCCACCTATAGGTAGGTGGAGCAGGTGGCAGGTGGCGAGGAGGTGGAGCTGGAGCTGGGTGTACTGGGGCAGAAGCTGCTTGGCTGAAGCTTCTCTTGGTCTGCCCAGAGTGGTGCAGCAGAGGCAGGAGCTGGAAGACCTGCCACTATTGGAGGTGAGGGGAACAGAACAGCTGTACCGACCCAGTCCCCAGCCAGCATGTGCAGCTTCCGGCAGGGTTGTTTCTAGTGTGGCTGCCGCTGGCCAGGTGCTGCTTTGCTTCCCTTGTCCCCAGTGGTGGCTTCTCCTCCTGCCCCTGCTGTGCCACTCTGGGCAGGCAGGCCAGTGTGAAGCTTCAGTTGGGCAGCTCCTGCCCCAGTGTGTATGGCTTCAGCTCCAGCTCCTGGCTGCCTTCTACTCATTCTGTTCACCCACACGCAGATGGCTGCTCATCATGCTGAGTGGGCAGAGCAGGTGGGAGGAAGCTGGAGCCCTGTGAGCTGAGGCAGAGCCCCCTAACTGAAACTTCTTACCCCCTCACCTTCTGCTTTCCACTCAGTGATGCAGCAGGGGCAGGAGCAGGAGGAGGACCTGCAGCTGGAGGCAAGGGGAGCAGAGCAGCACCCAGCTGGCTGCAGCTGCACCAGGAACAGCCCTTCTGGAAGCTGTGCATGCTGGTTGGGCTGGGGCCAGGCTGGCTGTCACGGGTGGGAGTGCAGTGTGAGCTGCTCTGGGAGGCAGCTGGTGGGGCTCATCCTCATTTGGAGCACCATGGGGGCAGCCATGGACTGCACCATCCAGGCAAGCTCTACTGCAGGTGTCCCCTTATCTCTCTTCTTCTCCTCACTCCTGGTTGTCTCCTAGGACCTAGTGCCCAGGGCTGCCCCCTCCAACACACCCCATACACATTGCCTCTACCCCCCTCCACAGGGCAGGGGCATACAGGGAGTGGATAGCAGTTTGTCCTGCCCACTGGCCCCAATCTGTTACTGTTCATAGAATCATAGAAGTAGGGTCGGAAGGGACCT